CAGGATCCTCTGGAGCTGCAACGTCACCACCTTCTCAACCACCTTCCCTAAAAAGGGGAGGTGGGAACCCGGACGAAAATTGTCCAGTATGGTGGGATCCAGTGATGGCTTCTTGAGGAGGGGGTGCACCAGCACCTCTTTAAAGACAGCTGGAAACACCCCATCCCTCAAGGATGAATTCACCATTGCCTGGACCCACCCACATGTCACCTCCCAGGAAGCTTTAACTAACCAGGAGGGACAAGGATCTAGTTGACAGGTATTGGCATTGTCCGTCCAGAGGGCCCTGTCCACTTTCTCAGGTTCAACAGGATCAAACTGTTCCCAGATAGCAGGGTAAGAACGTACCCTGGGCATCTCTATAGACCATGCCTCATGCTTGGTATCCAACTAGAATTGGATCCGAGCAATTTTATCCTCCAGATGCCTAGAAAACTCCTCTGCGCGGCCCTGTAAATGGGCTAGTGAGCCCCCCTATCCCAAAAGGTGTGTGTGTGTGTGTGTGTGTATAAAGATATATAAAGATATATGTAAACAGGTGAAGCAGATTCAAGTTATATTTTTTTCAATAGTAAAAGAGAAAAAAAAAGTAAAGCAAGTATCATGTATCTATCTACCATACAAAATTAGTTTAAAAATCAGGCTTGTTCTTTGCCTGTTTTGAAACAGAAGTGAACATTCTGTACAGGATTGTGCATATTCTGGAACTTGTCAGCATTTTTCCTGTTGTTTCTTCTGCAAAAATACTTTGTTTATTTTACAGCCTTAAAAGACTAGAAAAATGGAAACACGACAGGTCCTTCACTATTTTTTTCTCATGAAGTAAACTTGGAGGAAAAGGAGATTGAAGATCCCTCCTCTAAGGTTCAAATTCATAAAAATTTCCTGGATCATGAAATAAAATGTAGCTTGCAGTCTAGCTGGAATTAGTGAGAGATGTTACTCTTTCTTAGAGCTCTCAGTGAAAGGGATTCTAAGCTCAGATAAAACAGTTGAGGCTGGTCTCACGCATATACATAAAATGATTTGCTTGCTTTTTAGTTTAGCATGCTGTGTGAACCCAGTCGTTGTTTATTCATTATCCACAGTAAAGCAAACTTTTAGCAGAATGGGTTAACCCAGCTACCAATTGCCTCTGCTCCAGATTTCTGCAGTGTTCTTATTTCAGTTATAGCTTCAGTTCCAGAAATGGGCACAGCTTGTGCAGAGAGGGATTTTGCAAAACCTCCTATCCTGCTGGTCATTGTGACACCTAGAGTTGCACAAAAATCCTGTTCTCTAGCAAACAGAGGTGAAGGTAATCTTATATCTTCTTGATAAGTGCAATTTAGCAAGATATTCTATGAATGGTTCTATCTAACTATAAGTTTACCTGTACTGAATTAAAATATTAAAGTTAACGCATAACAATAGAGGGAACTTGATAGTTAAATCTGATAGTTAAATCCTTAGTGAATGTACCAGACCCAGAAATTGTGCTGGACCATATCATCACTATATATCCTGTGGCACTTTGCCTTACCTTGTGTTTATGAATTGGATTTTTGTCAGTTAAAAATTAGGTTAATAATGCTGTAGTAATGCCAAAATATAATGAATGACATACTATCTCAGAAAATTTTGCATATCAGTATTTATTTTTATATAAAACATGGTTGCACTTTGCAAATATATGGATTTTTCTTAAATATCTAGAATTTATTGTATGCATTTTGCTTAAAAATCTATTATATTTAAATGCTGTGCAATAATACATATTCCTTGAATGGGTTCCAATATGATTAAATAAACAAATATAAACAAAATAATAAAACCATAAAAACTAATACAGCATAAAATTTAATATAGCATAAATCAGTAGAACACAGTGCACAAGCAGCACCAAAATGTAGTGGAATCCCCAAATTTTCCAATGCTGTAAATCAATTGGCATCTGATTTAGCATGTTTATCTCATTTACTGTATATTTAGAAAAGTAAAGTCATGCTGACTTTACACATACAGTATAAATACTTAAGTATGAAAATATTAATTCCAAGCATTGCTTGGAATGAATTTTATTTGAGTACTTGTAGGTATATTAAGGCATGGCAATTCAAATACTGTAGCATAAACTTGTTTTACACTGTTTATTATTTAATTTTTTACAATTATTTATATCTAGCCCTTCAGGATATATGCACAAAGCAGCTTACAGACAATATAAACAATAGAGGTAGTCCTCATTTAGCAACCACAGATGGGACCAGCAACTTGGCTATTAAGTGAAGCAGTCGCTAAGTGAAACCCTGACTGTGCTTACAATCTTACTTCAGCTTTCCTTTGGTTTACAGACCAGTAAAGGTCATAAATGCGAGGACTGGTTACAAAGTTACTTTTTCATCACTGTTGTACCTTTGAACTGTCACTGTACGAGGCAGTTGCTAAATGAGGACTACCTGTATTTAGAAGCTGAAAACAGTATTCTTGTTCAATGTGTTATATGTCATATTATACTTGTTCACTAATCTGTTAAAAAATTATCTCCATAGAGGTCATCTTAAATTATCCTGTTCTATGTGAAATCAGTAACATTACTTGCTGAATTTATATTTAACATCTGGGGATGTGAAGTTTGGAAAGTTTGTATTAAAATGGGTGTACAACATATTTATAAGAAACTTATTGTCGTCTTTATTAGTTGTACCTGTGGGAGGGAGGAGAAGACTTAAGGGTAGAAATAGCTGTGAAAGGTCTCTAAAAGAAGTACTGCTATCTTGCCAATTTTTTAAAACCTTGAATACATGATCATGAACTAGAATCATGTCTCTAAGCTAGACAGCATACACCAAATGGTAATTCTTGGAATTACTACATCACCTTTGTGTAAAATGTCCAGCTGAATTGGTTGAAGGTGACATAGTGTAGGATCCTTGGACTTTTATTTCATTGGAGGGAGGCAGGGAGGGAGGAAGGAAGGAAGGAAGGTGTTAATCTATCCTTCTCTGCATGAATTGAATTTAATTTATGGTCAAATTCTCACACTGACATGGTCATACAGAATATTTGAATATGTATTTTACATGGAAATGTATGATTTATTTTATTTTAAAAATCTTTGGATTTGTGAATGCTGGGAATTAGCAGTATTACTCTTGTTCCAAACATGTGGTTTCTGGATGAAATATTGCAGCCCAAGGGTGTCCTTAGTTTAAAAAGTTGGATTCTGACTGCATTTGTTTCTCGCTGGTTATGAATTGTGCATGCCTCTGTGTTTGCTTAACCATTCTTACCTATACTGCTTTTCTGTTCTTGTCACAAAATATTGGTTAGTAAAGAAGAACGTAAAAGGATAAGTGCCAGTCAAGTGCTGCATTTTGATATTTTGATTGCTTTTTATTCCCTCCCTCTTACCTTTGACATTTAAAGCCATTTTAGGAATTACTACAGTAATGCATCCATCATGAAAGCTGCACAAATGTTTAACTCAGCATCTCATAATGTAATAAATGTTATTAATATTTGCTCAGGGAAAGTCTTTTTAATTTTTTCCTTCTCCCTCTCTTCTTTAAGGTGACAGGATGGTTGAAGATAGTAGAGTCTCTAACTTAAGTGTTGAGTTTTGGCTGAACAAGGCTCTTGAGTGGGATCAGCTCACCACTCTCGAATCACAGCAAGATGTCTGCCTTCACTTGCCTGAATTACAGGAATTTCTCCTGCAGATTTATGGAGTTTTGAAACATATGGTAAGTGAATTAACTGAAAGAATGAACTGTTTTGAAGGCTGTTACAGAAACATTCTGCACCCCACATTTTGACAAGACAGAAAGCTAACAGTAGCAGAGAGCCTTGTAGTACTGTCCTAATGTATTGCTGGATCATAGAAGCAAATTGGGGAAACAGCCACAGGTAATGCAAACAGGAAAGTGTTTCCTGTGTTCTTGATTTATTGTGAAAGGAGCCTTTTCATATTGATTGGTTATATTCTCATATGAGATTTCCTATTCAGTGCAGTAAAGTATTTTTTTAAATATGTTAAAATAAACAAGTATTTAATTCTGATTTTCAGGTCATAAATTGGATTATGTACAGATCCTTTACATACAAAATTATAGATGAACCCTTAAAATATAAATAGTCTTCTGGGCTATTAACCTTACTGCTACTGAATGCAAATTTTTTTCAGACCACCACTATGTGATCACAAGGAAATATCTAGTTTGCTTCTGGTATTTTAGTGTGGTCTAGAAGGTTGTAATAATTTTAAGAAAATAAATTGCAAACAATTAGGGTATTGTTATATATTTGTGTGCACTAAAATATATTTTGTTGATAACAGGCTATAAAATTAGTGTAAATGGTCAGGAAAGTATTTTTTAATAAAATAATAAATGGCAGATGAGCTACTGAAAAGTTTATTTTGTTAACAGTTGCCTGTTTCTGAGGATGTAACTTTTTTCCTTGAAATTATCTAACAGTGAGTTACTTACGAAACTTGGCTTCAGATGGATCTTCTGTATTTGGCTCCACAATGTCTAGGGTATGTCCCAAATGTGATCAAATCTGAAGAATTTATTGTAGTAGTAAGTGATGATTATCTTTGCTGCTACTTGCATATTCTCTCGGTTTACTACTATTTTAAAAGCCATAGTTTATTAGACACTAAAGCTACAAAAAAAAGAGAAGAGGGAAATGCCTGATTGTATAAGAATGCTTATAAACTGCACCATGTTTTACTTTTATAGCAAGTATTGGTTAATTTTTCTTTAGGTTTTTGTAGGTATAGTGGCGGTTAAATTTCAGGTTGCTATTCATATAGAATGTAGCAAGTTGTAATTGAAGTATTAGGATTTCTTTGTACTATGGTTGGGACTCAACCCTTCACATAATGCATAGAAATATGTGAGGGGTGTGATATTTTCATTAATTAGTTGTTTTTATATATTTCATTATTATTTTACTTTCATCCTGTAAATTAGAGAAATCAACAAAAATAGTTTTCTTTGTGTGCTTTTTTCATATAATTATTTAGAACCTATCCTGTAAAGGCACTGTGTGGGTCACAAAAAGTTGGGCTGAGTGGAAAGGTCTTAAAATACTTTAAATCTCATGTCACAATTTTAATGTTTTGTTTTTGCTTTCCTGCTTTCTTTTATATTTTTAAATTGTATCTGCAAGGACTATTGAATAGACTGGTGGTGTAGAGACTATGTAAGGTGATACAACCACAGCTGTGGTTGCTTGTGCACAGAAGCATTAGTTGCCCATCCCTTTTTCCTTAAGGGATTAGCACTCACTCATGTGTCATTTTTGCAAAAGCTTCTGCTATCTGCAGGGTCAGTGAGTGTTATTACATTTAGGTAGCACTTACTTCCTCTGAAGATGCTCTGTCCTTAATTTCCTTTTTTCCAAACCCCCACCATTGTGGACGCTCAACATGTTTTGGCACCCGCTATTTTTAAGACTAAGCATTCTTTTTAATTTCAGAACTCAACAGCTGCAGTCCAAGAATTTCCATTAATTGGTCAGTTATTGGGAAGGCTTTGTTGGAATCCTTTTGTCATTGGTTATGGTGAGTGTTTATAACTTGTTTTATTAAAATAATTGATAGATAAGGGAAAGTTTACTAAAATTATACTTTCCATATAAACATGATTAAATAATTTAGGATAGCATAGTACACAGATATCCACTTTACTTAAAATTACATGTGCATTGAAATAAATGAGTCTGAAAGTTAGAATAAAATGTTACCTGGAGCAGAGAAAGCTGCCTGATACTGACTCGGATAGTGGCCCATCTAGTATAACTGTACACATTCACTGGCATAAAGTCTATAAGGTTACAGACAGGGGTCTTCACAGCATGTCTGGAAATAGTAAAAATGGAATCTGGCATCTTCTGTGTGTAATACATGTTCTTTGCCACTGAACTGAATCTCTCTTCTCTGTATGAACTGTCAAACAGGACTATCATGGAATCATAGAGTTCAGAAAGGCCAATCCCTGCTCAGTTGAGGAATCCATATTAAAGATTATTAATAGATTATTGTTCAGCTTGGGCTTGAACACATCCAGGGAAACTAATAATCTCCTCAGAAACTTGCTTTACTATCAAATAACATTTACGAATAGGAAGCTTATGTTCTAACGTTCAAGTGGAACCTGTTTTCCTCTAATTTAAAAATAATTGTTTCATGTCCTGCATTCTGCAGTCACTGAGAATTCTTAACTTCCTTCAGTGTGACATCCTTTCAGGATTTGAAAAGCGCAATCATATCTTCCTTAGTTGCCTATTCTGGAGGGTAAGAATATATAATCCATTTAGTTTCTCCTTATATAATTAAATTCTTCCTGGTTTTAATAGGCCCCAGTATAATTACACTGTTATTTATTCCTGCAATGCACAGGTCCTCATCTGAAGTTCTAGTTGTCTCATCTCCCACCGGATTTAACGTTTATCTGATCAAATTCAACATGATCCTCAAACATTATAAGGAATGTTTGAAGTATTTCAGGTTTTCTTTTTTAATTTCAATAAACACTTGGAATAGATTTTAAGACAAAATGGAAGTTAAATGGATAAGGGAAAATGCTTCTTTCTTAATAATACTAACAGGAGGCTCTTGTATTGGTAGATAGAACTAGTTATATATGTTGCAATTAATGTAAAATGTCTAGAATATTTCATATATAATTTTAAAAAATATAAGCAAAGTTGAATATCACAGTATTTTTATGTACGTATACAAAAATGCAGTTTACAAAAGAGCAGTAGAACAGTCAACAATAAAATGCAATCCCATAAAATAACAATTGAAACTAAGTTTTAAAAGGCAATGCAGTCCTGAAGCAGTTGTTCCTATGTTAATTTCTTGGTGAACGGCCATGTATAAATGCCTTTAATATTGTATTTTAAACACAGGCAACGCAGGATCAGCTGTGCTTTCCCAGGGAGAAAGTTCTATAATTGGGGCTTGGCCACCAAGAAGTACCTACTTCTAGTGACATATAATGATGATCTATTAATTTTATTAAGATCCAGTACTGATTCCTTGATAGGTTGATTGAGTTTTGAAGTTTTGGAAATAGAACTTGCCCTTTGAAACATTGATATTACATTTATTGATCATACATAATGCTGTATATATTGCAATGATTCTCTAACAAGTTACCCAGAAAGTAACAGAATTGCCCAAAATAATAAAAAATTACATCAATTAACAGTAGCAAATGCTCTTTAACAAAAGGAAAAACAGAGAAAAAGCAAAGTAAGAGATTACTAGATGTTAATCTATAAAATCCAGTGTTTCTCAACTTTGACATCTCTAATATGTGTGGACTTCAACTTCCAGAATTCCCCAGCCAGCACACTTGGTCAGCAGTGGGAGCAACAAGATGGTGAAGGTCAGCTGGGGGTGGCAAAGTGCAGGTGGCAGGGGCTGTGGAGTGCAGGAGGCCAAAAGGGCAGAGATGGGGAGATAGGCAGGTGTAGGGAGTTGAAGTGCCTCCGTGGTTCTAAGTGCAGGCGGGCTGCAAAGCACCTGAATTTTGATCACGTGACCATGGAGGCACTGCGATGGCTGTAACTTTGAGGACTGGGCGTAAGTACCATTTGTTTAGCACCACCGTAACTTTGAATGTTCACTGAATGGATGTTCATAACTCAAGGACTACCTGTAATTTGTGGGGCGTCTTCTGAAGTTGTCAATATTGTACAGGAATGATGTAAATACATAAATAAACATGCAGGACTGCTAACAAAAATGGTCCTATTATTTATACTGGCTATATCAATAAGAAGAAGACATGCATACTGAAATCCTTTCACATGTGATACCACAGTAAGGAAATAGTATTTAATACAGTAAAATTGTCTTAGGATGTAAATGGTAATTAATAAGTGGAGACCTTTTACATAATACAGTTTTACAGTTCTTTTACAGTGTGGCAAGTTTTGAATACTTGGTTTGTTCTGCTTGAGAGAAAGTCTTTATGCAGCCCAGAGTCACTTTGTAATAAATAAATAAATACATTAACAGAACAATTGTAATTAAAGGTTCCAATATACCAACCTTAAAGTACTTTTGTCATATTGGATTTTCTTTCACTGCAATCAGTGGCAGGGAAAAATATAAGTAAAATGGCTGCTCTAAATTTCACTCTGTATTGGGGGAGTGGCAAAGCAGTAGTGGTGAGAAGAGTATTTAATTTTTGTCAGGGAGCATTTCAGATACCACATACTTGAGGCCTAAGAGGAATGTTGTAAGATACTTTCATTCCCCGATATCTGCAAAAAAAATATATATACCCGCCACCTTGAGATGCACACATCTCCCAGACAAATATGCTTCTCTGACAAACATTTTGCTTTGACAACTGCTCATTTACCAGGAAAAAATGAATGTTAAGATCCTTAGGGGAGTTCTTTATTTTGACTAAGGTAATTACTTGTACGGAAAGAGATATTTAGAGTTAGCTTTTATGTTAGAAAAACAAAACAATGCAAAATATTTGAATTTAATGACATAAGGCTGTTGTTCTATTTATATAAATAAGTTTTATGTATAGTTTTATCAATAAAATAAGTTGCAAAAATAAGATGGCTTAATTCAGAAGAAGTTACCCAGATTGAAACTGATAGTATTTAAGCTTGTCACGATTAACTAGGTTCATGAGAATCAGAAAGACAATCAATTACACCCATCTCCGATCCAATATTATACTAAATTGTGCTACTTCTGGATTAAAATAGATTAAAACATGTTTTATATTAAGAGAAGTAAAAATGAAACCAAGTCTGTATGTGATGAATGGTTTAGAATGGAATAGAAGAAAAATAACCATAAAGGTTTACTTTGTCCTTATTTTTTATTTTTTTGTTTTGTTGTTGTTTATTAACATGAGCAAGATTTTTTTCTTGTCCTGCTTTGATTTTTTTAAAAATATCCTTATTTGGATTGGTATCTACAGATGAATGCCAGAAGATTCTGATGTGCTGCTTATGTTGTCTGTATAGTGGTGAACCACAGAACCCTCTGGAATTGAAGGCCAACAGCTGGATACAAGTAAGCAAATGAATCCTCCCCTCAGCTGCTTTAAATTAACTTAATTATTTAAAGGTGCAGCATCTATAGCATATAGACACTGTGTCATTTTTGGAAACCACTCTAGAGACATCCTACATTCACATTGTATTGAAATGTATTCTCCTTTAATTAAAGTACAAACTGTGCTGTCTCTCATTTTGAACATTAAAAAAGATGTGGTGTTTAAAACCAAAGTAATTTTAATGGCCCTTTAATTGAATGGAGCCTAGATTCTGGCAACTTCAAGTAAAGAACAAAGTCCACAAATCAACAAGCAAGAGAGTGCTATAAAAGCAAACTTTCAATTAGGGGAAAAATAATGCAATATGGATAGAAGCCCTTGTTTGTTTTGAAAACAATTTATATATGCTCTATAATTTTGCTTTTATTTTTGTTTAATCTTTCTAGCCTTGGGAGAAACTAATTGTATCCAAATTTTATTCACAGACAGCTAAAGAAAATATTTGTGTGCAACTTAATTTTTTTAGTTAGTTCTGAGTTAAATTAATCCACAATTGCTTGAATTTTACATTGAGCAGTCTTTAATGTAAAATCTTATAGTGTTTTTTTTTCTAAATAACCCCCTTCCTTAATTTCCTTTAACCTTTTTTTAAAGAAAACCCTGCCTGATACATTTATTCCATCATTAAACAAAACATCTAAGCTCATATACAGAATCATTCTCAAATTCTTTATGTAGACGCTCAAGTGCATGCTTTATAATTATATATTCTGGGGATGGTGGTGGAATAGAGGTTTATTTTGAGGAATAATATTAGAAATAAGATGAAGATGAAGATGAAACTGTTAATGCAATTTCTATTGAGATACTTATCAAAATTGTGTTCTGCTCTGAAGTATCAAAACCTGGTTTAATAATTCAGTAATAGACTGTTGCAGCTTCATTCCTTCTCATGAACTGTGAAACAAAACAAGCTTTTATTAAGCATAGTTGATATGTCACATTAATTTTTTCATTTGTGTATAGCATAACATGTGACCCCATCTCATTAAACAAACCATGGTTTAGTTTTACATAAATAACATAATTTGAAGCCCCTCTTTGCTTACTGAATACAGGGAGTCTTTGCTTGCTGATCATTTGTTCAGCGACCGTTCAAAGTTGTGATGGTGCTAAACAAGCGGTATTTATGACAGGTCTTGAAGTTCTAGCCGTTACAGCATCCCACGGTCACATTATTGCCATTTGTGACCTTCCCTGCCAGCTTCCCACAAGAAAAGTCAATGGGGAAGCTAGCAGGGAAGGTCGCAACTTGCTATGGTAAATCCCCCCGCCAGCCTTCCTGCGTAGCACCCTTCCCTTGCCTGAGCTTGCACCTATCCTCAGCCTCCCTGCGCTTGCACTGACCTGAGCCTCCTTCCCTTGGCCTCCCTGCGCTTGCACTGCAGGACACCCCTCCCACAACTCACATGAGGCCTGAGCCAGGCCTCCCAGGATCTCCCCCACCTCCCTGTGGCACCCCCACGCCTCTTACCTAGGACTCCTGCTGATTCCTGCTTAACTACCCACGCAACCAGGACTGCCTGGATTGTCGTCGTTAAGCGATGCACTCATGTGATGTCGCACTTTACAACCACATCACTTAGTGATGGCAGTCCTGGTCCCAATTGCTGTTGTAATCTGAGGACTACCTGTATGACTTCTAACCGTGACTTCACTTCACTGAACCTGTATGAAAGGGTTTGAAGGGGTTGTTTTTGGGGGTAGGTGGGTTTTTTTTTTGATATTTCCAGTTAGTCTTCAAAGAAACAGGCAGCATTAAATTTTTTTAGAGGAAAAAAATTCTTAAGAAACATCTGTTTGATTTTCAGTTGAGCAGGGACCAGTCATTTGCTTGTATTCTGCCAGGCAACAATATCAATTCCTTGCCCCTGTACTTAGTCTCAAGGCTAATTATTTAGTTCAGTTGTTGATAATCTACAAGAACCACTATAAAAAAGCAAAAGAAGTAAAATCACACATTGAAACATGATTGCTTTGAAGCCATTTAAAAAAGAAACATCTTTGAAGGTAATAATAGCCATGAAATATAAAAATCCTTGTTAAGTATGCTTTCTTCACAAAAAAACCCATTCTCTGGAAAATGAGAATTGCCATCTTTGTGACAGATATTCCTTCATTAACTTGCCATTTCAATCCTGGCTGCACTTTTTCATTTTGCACCATTTGTAAACATAGCCATTGTACTGAAGGTAGTTACTATTATCAAAAACTTTCAAACAATGTAGGATTCGGCAACAAGCATTAAATTTATGTGTGTGAATCAAGACTTCTTTTCTATACACTAACTAGATTAACATACTAAAGTAACAGCTATAGTTTTTAATTATGACAGTGAGCTCCTCAAGTGAGGAGATATTTGAAAATGTTCATTTTCATTTTACATTAATGTGTGACCCAACAAAGGAGAAGATGTGGATTATGTTTCCAGTAGCAAATTGCAAATCTTTCAGAGAGTGATGAAATCGTTGGGAGATCTTAATTATTCTGACATCTGTTGGGAAATAAAGTGTCAAGCATGGTTTTTCCATGCAATTTCATCAGTTCTGAAGGTGGTGAAAGTGGATTAGCTATGCTGGACTTGATTGTAACCAATAGGGAAGACTTACTAGATAAAGTAAAAGTAATGTGGACTTAGGGGAAGGAGACCATGTAATGTTGGAATTCTTGAATTTAATCAAAACTGAGCTGACTCTAGTCAAATATACTGTATACACTGAACTTCAAAAAAGCCAGTTTAAATAAACTTAAAACAATTATAAAAAGGATACCATGTCAGGAAAAGTTAACGGAAAAAGAGCCCGAGATGGACGGAAGTTCCTAAAGAAAGAGATACTAAAAGCACAATTGCAAGTAATTCCAAAAAGAGGGAAAATAGCAGTCAGCAAATATAGCTACACAAAAGATTAGTTAAAATATGAAAATAAAAAGGATAATGGGGACAGGTATGTTTTAGTATGTTGTTTTAATTGTAAACCATTTCAAATATGCTTTTAATGGGAAGTACCATAGATATGTTTTTTGAAAAATGAACAAGTTACCAAGGAGGAGTACATACAGGTAGCCTGGAGATGATGCAAGAAAGGCTAACATTCAGTAAACTGAGATTGGCAAAGGTTGTGAAACAGTGAAAAGGGCTGCTTTGGATATGTTCAACATAAAAGGGGAGGGAAAGAAACAGTATCCCAGCTGCTCAGTGAAGATGTCATATAGGTAACAGGTAGCATGGGAAATGTGGGACCCTTCAACTACCATTTTTGGCTAATCTTTGAGAAGAAGATATACGTTCTACTAGGTAGCTGCTTTGAAAAGCAGAATGACGGAGCAGGATTGAAGTTCAGATTGATAGAAATATGATCAGGGTATACTTATTTGACTGGAGTTTAAATATCATGGGCCCGATGAATTGTATTCAAGAATTCTGATCTGGCCAACTTTTTACCTTCTCTTTGAGAAATCTTGAAGAACAGCTGAAGTGCCAAACAGTTAGAAAGGCAAAACTTGTTCCTTTCTTCAAAAATGGGAAAGGGGAAGACCAGAACCCATCAGTGTGCTATTGATACCTGGGACAATTGCAGAGAAGATCATAGAGCTATTACTCTGTAATCACTTTAAAAACAGTGTACAAATGGGTTGCGATTAGTGTGAGTTTAAATATGATACTCGATTTAGTGTGAATTGTAAAGTAAACTGATACCAGATTGCATGTAATGCTACCCAAAATTCAGTTAATGTAAGCCTGGGACGTGTGCAATTGAGGCTGGTGCATGCAGAGCTGAAGTTGGGGTTTTAGAAGCTGCTGATCTTCATGTGTGCAAAATGGCAAAAAGGAAGATTCTGTCAGAGGAGAAGAGTACAAGTTTTTAAAAAAGAGGCTCATTATTACATTAGTGCAAAAATGTGATGTAATTGAATGACATGAACGTGGTCATAGCAAACTAAAATAGGACAAGATGTTGGAATCCTTGAAGCTACGGTAGAATTTTTTTGTTTTATTTTGTTTTCTATTACTACTATGTGACTTTGTTAACCATAAATTTAAATTATAAGTATATTCTTTTTATTTTTTACTGTAATGTTTCATTAATATACGTATGTATAAAAATTGTTTAAAAATTTCCATTGCCTATTTCCATCGAACTGGAACCAATTAGCATATTTTCCATAGCGATATCACTTTGAATAGTGCAAATTTGAATAATGCAACCATTTTGTGGGATTCATTAACTGCACTAATTGAGACCTACCTGTAATGATTATCAGGTCAGTATGGGTTTGTTATGAATAAGACTTGTCAGAATAACCTTGCCTCATTTTTTAATTAGGTAACTACCTTAGTACATTGTGGGAGTGCTATATGTCTAGATTTCAGCAAAGCCATTCTTAGTAGCTAGATAGATAAGTGTGGGTTGGATGGCAAAATTATTAAGTTAATACACAGCTCTTAAAAACCATTTTCAATGCTCTTCAACAGCTCCTCATCAAACTGGAGGTATTTAATTCAGTCCTGATCCCTGTACTTTTCAACATTTTTATAAATTATTTGAATGAAGAGGTGAAGGGAATGCTTATCAAACTTGCAGGTGACACAACAAAGATCTTGGGATAGCTAATACTATACAAGAAAGCAAGAAAATTCAAAACAGTCTTTATAGTTTAATGATATGGGCTGAAACTAACAGAATAAAATATAACAGACACAAATGTAAAGTTACACACTTAGAGAAAAAGGTACAGAGTGGGAGATTTATGGGTTGGCAATAGAAGTTTGGGAAACATTTTGGAATAGTCATTGATTACTATCTGAATATTAGTACTGTAATGTAACTGCAAAACGAGGCAGGGGCAAATCAGGGGAGATAGGACAGTACTCTTTAAGTATGAGAACAAGATCTATGTTCTCCTTAATGCAAAGACAGAACTCATAATAATGTTTTTATAAATGATGACAGACTGA